CCAAAACTTTTGTCCAGTTTTGTAGTTCATTACAGTTGGACAGCTTAGTCCAGTACTAGTTGGAGAGCTAGGTTTATACCAGTTACTCTGACATGATTCAACACAGAAGTCTCCCAAAATAATATTAAATTTGTTTTATTTTTAAAAATTAAAACAGTCCTCATTTTAGACAATAAATATTTTCATGAAACTGTTTAGGAAAGTCGTTGATTTGTAAATCTTCTTTCTCTTAACTTAATTTTTATTACACTTCACTGATGACAGTAGTAAAATCTAAGCATTAAAGTTACCATATATATTATATTATGTATAATTATATGTAATTTTATATATAAAATATTATATATATATTTAGTGGGTATTAATTCAGCCATACTCAGCAAAGCAAGTGAGAGTAATAAAATAAAAATATAAGTAGTATATACAGTTTCATGCCCATTCCACTTAATGAACTTGGCTTATATACATTTTTCTGTATACTATACACTTCTATGAACACTATACACTTATAAACATATATTCAGCACACAATGTGTGCTGTAATTTGTGGGCAATTGAAGCATCACTATTATTGATGGCTCTGGAACCTAATTCACTCATGAAATATGACTTGATTATCCCCCATGCAAAGAGTCAGCAACACATAAATACCAATAGAGTATAAAAAGGAAACAACATTCAAAGAAACCTTCTGTTTAATCAGATTGAAAGAGTGTATCTGTTTAATATATTCCGTAAGTCCTTCATATTTCACCTGCTTATAAGTTCAAAGTTTTGGTATTAATTCTGAAACTAAGTACATTCATAATAAGGCACTCATGTTAAATGAGAACTATTGTAAAACTGATAGGTAAAAGCAACTAATTACAACTTAGCTGAACAATTCAGAGAAAAAACTGAAGTTGACTTTTTGTGGTTTATGATACAAGGAAACATAAATACATAACTGAAATATTTGAGTAAAATAAGACATAGGGAACTCTGACCCTAACTTATTCTAGAATCAAAAACATCCTTCTCTATAGCTGAATTATTATACAATGGCACAATTACTAGACAAGATGTTCACTGACGACTGATTAACTTCACTGGTGATTAACTTCATGACTAGCTTTGCTGTGACTCTCAGGACATCACTTTTTTTTGTTACAGAAAAAAAAATTAATGATTCATCCAGATCGTTAAATAGATACATTATTCTTAATGATTAATTATGGAAACAAATGCTACCTTAATATACACTAAATATAATCCTATTCCAACATAATGTGGGCTTCTTCACTGGGACTCCTAAGGTTTATGAAAAGTATAATCTGAAAATGCTGAATTTTTACATGAAATAAATAACAGCATTCCCTTTAAACATACTAGGAAATTTAATAAGTATGATATATTTTTAAACATATGCTAGAGTCTCAAAAAAAATTTTTAAGCCTCAAACAACAGTTTACCAAAGAATAGAACATCCAAGCAGCAACAGTGAACAATCATATTTCAGCTGCCACAAATGGACACAAAGATGCTCTTAGACTGTCATCAATCCAAGCAACTGAAGTACTGAAGCCTGCTTGTATCAGCACAGAGAGTGGAAATAGAGCCAAATCTGAGATTTTTTTCCCATGAAGAATACACTGTGATTCAAACTAAATGTGTATGTGTAGTTACACACACACACACACACCCCCCTACTAAAATGCTTTTAGGCTTTTCCTCCTGCCAAATGGGTTACCTCACCCTGATGGCACAGCAATTATTTATCTTTGGACAAGAAAACACATAGTTATCTTTCCAGGACTTCTATGTGACTTCAAAAGAGCCACAGGCCTCTTTATTGTCCTGAGAGTAGAATAATCCCCAAATATAAAAGGAAGCTTTTAAAAACAAAATACAATATACAGTTCTAAAAAAAAGAACTGGGAAATCTATATGAAATAGTATATATTTAACACATACTTTCACTATTATGGAAAGTATTTATCATCCGTTATGTTCCAGACCCTGTATTAGGTACTTACACAATCACCATTTTTACAGATAAGAAGCAGAACAATGAGCACACAAAGGTAAGTGGTGGAGCCAGGCTTCCAATATTTAATTGACTCCCAAATCCGAGCTCCTTAATAGTCTCTGGGGATCTTGAGAGCAAGGATTTAAACTTGCTCATCTTTGTATTAAACACATAGTATAATACCTGGCAGACAGTAGATGTTCAATAAATGTTCAGTGAAAAACAACCTGAACCTTCTGGGATAGCCAAGCTGCTTAACACAAATTAAATAGCTCTTTAATAAACATGCCAACAAATATTATCGGCTTACCCTTTGAGGTCATTAATTAATTTGTTTTTCTCCTGGACTGTTCGCTTGTGGTGCATTCGATGAAAATCACGTTCTTTCTGAGTTTTCAGCAGATCTTCTCTAGCCTTGCTGAAAAATAAAAATAATAATAACTTTAAAAATCACTGATAATTTCTTCCTGAAAATTATTTACTTATCAATTCAAATCCAGTCCTAAGGAACCCAAAGGACAATCAAAAAGCAAAGATTCTATTATAATTCTCACTGAACTATCCCAATCAACATAACATATATTGGGGTGGGGGATGAACAGGCTAAAACCTGTAGTTTCAAAAATATCTTCATTCACATCTCATTTAAATAAAAAAAATTAAAGGTATGCTGCCACAATAACCTATAGTCCATCTATTTCCAAAGACAATTTGTTTAAAAAATTGAAATACATATAAAATAATTCAAAATAATTCAAAATAAAAAGACTACAAAATTTAATTCTGAACTTGCTAGAATATATGGTTAAGTGGGTTTACTTAGTTCTGAAAACTGTGAAAATGAAAGCATATAAGTTCTAGAAAACCAAGATTTTATTCTGGTAATGCATATGAGAAATAATACACTGAATACAGATCATATTCCTAGAATAATTGGTAACTTAGTGAGAAGAGTCTTCAATATCAGGGTTGTGACACAGAAGCATTCTTCAACTGCATATATCTTCTGCAGACCCCTGGCATACAGCAAGCAAGAGTATTCTTTATAAGCCCAGGCGTATGCAAAAATTAATGGGAATGATTCACCTACCTCTACAATGTAAGTTAGCTTTATTATAATAATGTAAAAGGTAATCTATAATGTGAAAGTAGTTATCTAACAGCCTGAGTTAACTGACAAAGTTCTACTGCATTCAGATTCTCACGTTCTGATAGAACGGATAGACTGAATTAGACTACTGACATCTCACAAAAGGATCAGAATGGAATAAATCGGCTTCATGTATTTCAAAATTCAGATTCATATGAAATAAATGCATGCAATAGATTTCTGTTTTAGGAGCTACGTCATTGCACTCACTAAGGTGTGGTGGCTTGGATGCCACCAAAGTAGTGGTATGAGTTTAGGTTTTCAGGCTTCTAATGGAGCATATTATGATCGTGAGACTTCTTGCTGCAGGATCAAGTCACACATGGCATATGGCGAAAGTGTCTCACCCATTCTTCCAAGTTTCTGTCTGTCGCCCTACCACCTCCCACTTTTTCTGGATGACCTGTATTATTCTTCATTCTACTATTAATGGTGTAGCCTTGATCACATGTAAATAAACAGTGTGTTACAGTACATCACAGTCTAACCATCTAATCCTCAGATTCATTTCCATGTCAACAATCTTGAAGGCACAAGAAAATGTTCATTAAAATATTCAGACTTGAAAAATCATCTGTGAAATATTCCAATTATTAGATAAACGTTCATTCTTTCCAGGTTTTAACTCTCCCTGCGTGAGTGAAGATGCACCAAAAAAAGAGAGAACCCCTCTGCCACCACAACGTGCCTAATGAGCAGAGTAGTGAGTGAAAAGGAGAAGAGAGATTAAGTAGAGTGACTGGAAAAAATAAATGGCTGAGTTGACATTTTGTTGTGAAAACACAAAAACATCACCTGAATTCTCATTCCTTTAGGAAAGTATGTAAAGTGGATTAGATACAGTCTTACATATAGAAAATAGACAATGAATGTTACTATAATCATCATCATCATACTACTATTACTATTTAATATAATAGAACTGGTATATTCAATTCCTCTAACAGCTAGATTTATCTACCTAAAATAGGGGGCATGCCAGTAGATCACTGTCCTCTAATGGACCAAAAATATCAGTACACATGATTAACAGTAACACTGTATATCTTATTTAAAAAATTTAAACGTGATAAACATCTATTTTGAGTCTACTAAAACTGTCTTATTTCCAACAACTTAATGAATTATAGAAACAAGCTTATGTTTTATTTATCTTATGTGAAATGTAAAAAAAGGTTAAAAAAACTTAGAAAAATAATGCTGCAAAGTTTCTTAAGCAAAACCACAAATGTGTAGCATTGCGTCAACTCACTGCTTTAATATACATTTAAAGGCCTATTTGTTCTCATCCCAGGAAAGCAAGCACAGGAACTGATCGAAGTATTAGACCTTAAAGTTTTTCTGACCATTAAATTGGTTTTCAGGGGCTTGCTTTCTGTTTGCACAAATGAAGTCTACTCAGTAAAATAATTTAAATTCATTTCATGGTGATGCTTCTCCTATTATGACCTTCCTGCTGCCCATCTGCTTAATAAAAGGAAAATAAAAGTTGTGCAATAAAGTTTAAAATATTCATGTAACCAATTAATATTTAAACCACATGGTATTTTCTCATTATATTAGTAGAGCATCTTAGGGTTAAAAAAAACTTTTATTAAGTCACATATCAAATACAGTAATTCTATTTCAAGTATAATAAAGTAAGAGTTATTCAGGGAAACATTCTATTTAGATTTGTATATCATAAAGAACACACTTCTTTAATGCTTTTCTTTAATGAGATGGCAGAATGACAATTAAACTCCTCCATTTCAGGAAAGCAGCACACCAAAATTTATACTTAAATTATAAAATATCAAGATACTCATATTTTCATCATACTATAAAAGTACTGCCCCCAAAACTCCACGTTTAACTTACAAATGTAATTTAATAATGTACTCTAAAAAATTACTTCTAACTGAATGCCCAAAGTAAAACAATTTTTTATTTTAGAGTGACTATTTAATAATAGATTTATTGGGTTATTTTGTTATCTTAATTTGACAAAAGGTAGCACATAAACATTTTCCTGTTTACATGCACCAAAGTAGACCATCTTTGTCATGTATTTTTCTTACTTGCAAACTTGAATCAAAGTAATTTCTGATAACAGTACTACATAATGACCAATTATTTCATTGTCTTAAATTGGTTATAAATAAATTAGTTTAACCCACTAAAATTAATATTGGAATAATTGTTGGATTGTTGTAATTCAACCAGATTAGAGGCAAACTTTCACTATATTCTTAACCAAAAAAGAAGGGTATATCCATGTCCAGAAAAAAAATACCTTTTTAATTTAACAAGCAATTACCTAAACACTAAGGCATGAAATTTTATGGGCCTCACAATTATCTTTTATTTCCACAGTGTGTGTTTCTGAAAGTCGTTAAATTAAATGGGTCTTCTGAAAAGCTGCATACCCTTTGACCTTTTATAGAAGTGAATTTTGTGAGTGAAATTAGGGCCCATTAGTAAGGCACCTAATTTTTCCTAAATATTAATTGCCATTTAGTTTTCTTTATGTCTATATTTTCTGGTAGAAGATAAAAATCAAGCATTTCATTATTTTTAAAATGGTACATTTAAATCTAATTAGTAATCCCAGTCAGTTTTATTTTCTGTCAAATCTTCAGAACTCTCAATAAAACTCTTCCGGTCTGCATTATATTTCCTTAATGTAAAAGCCCAGCAAAGGAAGACAGTCCTCTAAATAGGACAAGACAGCTTTAGCAAAATTTATTTAAATGCCCATCATGAAAAGAAAATGTTGCCTACTCTTAAAGAATACTATGAAAGGGGCAAAAATCAACCAACCACTAAGAATTATTAAAAACTTTACTAAAGAGCCAAAATGTTATTATCACACATTCACTTAAGCCCCTCATATTTCCAAGAACAGCTATAGGTCTTGGGGATATATTGAGCACAAGACACAGTCTCTATTATATGGAGCTCACAATGTAACAACAAAATGTATACATTAGATAATTAGATGTACAAGGCACAAATTTCAAGCTCCTTCATGAACAGAGTATTAAATTAAAGATACCCTAATGAACAGAGAGAGATATCACATAAATAGAAGACTAAAACACTTGTCAAAGTCATGTAGCTAAGACTTGTGTATTTCAATTTATGTAAATTATAACTTAAAAAACTGTAAAAAATAATATAATAACTGGGTATGGGGTAGAGTATGTGTGGAGACAGAAATGAAATAAGAATGGCAAAAAGTTGATAAATGTTGAAACTGTCTGACGGGCCCATGAGGTTCATTATTCTATTCTGTTTACTTTCTATATGCTTGATATTTGTTTAGAATTAAAAAGTTGATATATGTAAACAAACAAACTGCTTTGTACTTGCTTTCTGGGAGAAATGCCACTTTGGGGTGTTTATTCACTGTTACTGCTGCTGCTAATAATAAGGTTGATGAAGATGATAATGCTATTCCACCTACTTAATAAACTGTGCACCAGGTACAAGGCTCATTATACTGTGATGGGTAAGACAAGCACAGTATTTGCCTTCCTCAAGTTTACAAGAGGGTAGAGAAAATGAATACAGAAATAAAACATATATAACCATAAACTGTAACGATGCTGTGAAAAGGGAAAAAAGAGGATGCTATAACACAGAATACTTATTAATCCTATTGAGCACTTACCATGTGATGGATATTGTATTAAATGCTTTAAAATGATTCACTCAAGGATAGGTGGTATACCTCATTTACACATGAGAAAACAGATTGTTACATTCTTATATCTAATAAATGGCAGATAGCATGTATTTGTGTTGCTCTATCCATAATATCTGATCTAATATCAGTATCTGTTTTGAAACAAAGCTTGAGTGGGGTTAATAAGTAATGCAAAATTTGAGAATACCAGATGTTGTCCTTTCAAGAACCTAGTTGTCCCATAAGGAGCTACTTTGATGTTGTTACTATGTTATAACCAGGTAAGTCAACCCATAAGAAGGTGATGCAGGATATAATGTTCTCCCTGTTTCCATTACATCCCTCCATCTAGTCTATTTTCCACACAGGAGCCACCTTACATCATGCTTCTCCTCAAAGCTATCCATTAGCCTACAATCCCACTCAGAGGAAAAAAGCAAAGTTCTAACAAAGGCCTCTACCATTACCCCTGGATTTAGTCACCGTGGTCTTGCTCGTCCTCTAACAAGCCACACTGTCCCTACCATACGCTCTTTGGACTTCCTTTTCCCTCTGTCTGGAATTTCCTTTTCCTAGGTTTTACATATGGCCTTCTCCCTCAGTTTCTTCAGATATCTGAGAGGACTTCCCTCACCCCCTGTATAAAATAGCCCATCATTTATCTCTGTCTCCTTTACCCATGTTAGTTTCCTTTATAGCACCTACCACCACCTGACTGGATACATTATAACTGTCAACATCCACGTGTAGTTAGTGGCTATCTTACTGGACAACACAGGCTTCAAGAACTTAAACAGTGTGGAGGTAAGAAGCCTTCACTGAGACAGAAGTAAAGGCAGAACAGAATGTTCTCACAGAAGCTGAAGAAGAAGAATGGAACATAGGATGCATCCTTGAGTAGAACAGATGGGGTGAAAGCCAGACTACGGGACGCTATAATACAAGTACAATGATGCTTTTAAGAGTAAGTCATCAAACTGAGAATATCTGCAATGTCTACATTATTAGAAAGATACATAAAATGCAAGTCAAGATACAGGTTTCTACTTAATAAAACCTGTAATTGTTTTTATGCACCTCAGGCTTAGGTGAATACTGTGGCATGCCAACTACCAAATAAAACAAGGTTTATGAAATAGTGTCTTAACCATGAAAGATATTATAACTCTAAGTTATGATTTTTAATCTTCATTCAACTAATAGTTATCTGCAAGTGTGTGAGAGGTCACTTAAATTATAGACCTCTGTATTTGAAATAATAATTGGTCCATGTTTCAATATAAAAGTAGTTATATTCTATTTTTCTAAGAGAGAATGTAAAACTACTGCTTATATCATTCTTCTCTAGTGTCTAGCATATTATACATTATTAAATCTTTTTAATAATTCTGTTTTTCCCTTAAAAAATCTATAAAGGAATTTTCCAGTTATTTCCTAAACTTTTTTTTTTCCAAGGTGTAACTGACCCATAACATTATATTAGTTTCAGATGTACAACTGGCTGAGCAAAACCTCTGTTTTAAAATTGGCATTGCTTACAGCAGAAAAAAAGACAATTTCTTTTTTAATTATAGCAATTCAAATGATATTTTTGAGTGATGTATTTCCCTTTTCATGTCTTCCTTCATGCTTCACCATTGTTGAATTTCAAAAAAAAATACCGTGATAATTTTTAAAAGTCTAGGGATGACAGCCTTTAGAGATATTGATAGCAACAGCTGACATTTTCAAAGAACTTTGTGATTTACACAGCTCTTTAACAGAGATTGTCTTGTTTAATTATCACATCAGTCCCTAAGAGTTAATAATATTATGCATAATTATTCCCAGTTTAACAATAAGAAAACTGAGTTAATAAGTAGCAGAACAGTGGAAGGAAGCTAGGTATTTGAACTTTAAGTTCAGTTCTCATTCCGTGGCAACAATCCCCTAGATAAATATTAAGCTTACAGCTATATGATTTCACTGATTTTTCTAGATACATCACCAAATGCCACCAGTTTAATCAAGATAACATATAGCAGATCTGTAATCTGACTCTTTTTACATATTAAATATTCATTATTGTTAGAAAAGTATTTAACATCTGTACTTATCTTGCTTTAAGAAATAGTCTTAATCCTAAAGAAGAAAATTTTAATGCAAATTTCATAAAGAGAATCCCATGTTTATCATTAATTCCTCCTGGAAAAATATTCTCACAAGTTAAATTGAAAACCTTTGTGATGAAACATTTCAACTTGGGGCAAACTTGTAGCATGAAAGATGTAGTTGTGGGAATTTTTTTTACAAAACTTAATTCTCCATTTTCTAAGAATGAATCCAACAAAATTAGGCCACAGGGACACACTTCATCAAAAGGTGCTGTGAAGCACAGTGTGCTTAACATTCATTCAATGATATAAACATTTGGCACTAAGGGTCAAGCAGCTTTCCTTCAAATTTTCCATGTCAGGTAGATTAAAGTAAATAAGTGTTTTCTTTTTCTAATTTGTATAAGCTTAGTTATATCAAGTAAGATAGGTTTGAGAGAGAACCATAGCCCATTGAAACTAAAACTATATTTTATAAATATTTAGTGATCTGATATTTTAGTAAACACGAACAAGAGATCATTTTCATTTGAGTGATATCTGTTTTAGTCATAGTTTCTTTTAACATTAAGTTAATAACTCACATGGGTAATAGTTTATATGGTTTTGATTATAGTTATTAAATATAATATTCAATAAATAACTAGTTATAAAAAGTGATTATTTAATATAACTGGGGCAAAACTCATTGCACAAAGAGGCTCTATTCAAAAGAAATTAGCAAACTCAAGCAATAATTCAAAGGAGATCAAGAACTGAGACAGCCTGCCAGGCAGCACTCTGAAAAATTTGCTGTGTCAAATTCCCATTGCATCCATTAGGTATCTATACAAAATCACAGTTAGCATCAGGGCCAACAGTGCAAAAACCACTTCTCAGAAACAGAACCAAGAATAGAGAGAATGCTGGTTCTAGTAACATCATTCTGTGGATCATCATCTATTTAAAATGCAAAATCCCAAAAGTACATCCATAAATAATGTGAAATTTGTATAACTTGCAAAACTTATTTCTATAAGTGCATAAAATAACTGAATAAATGATCATATAAATTATCTTTCATTTACCACCACCTTTTAAAAGTAGGAGCTTATTTTAAATGTTTCTTTTACTTTGCAATACAGTCTTGTTTCTTTGCACTAAACTTTTTTACAAAGATCTTAGAAATATGTCCCTACATGGTAGTTCTATTTATCTAATTTTTAAATACAATTCTTTCACAGAGAAAGTCCCTCTTTAAATGTTTAATAAAAATTAATGAGCAAAGCATGAACTGTCTCTACTTCATATTTAAGCATTGATTTTTCATCTAACATTGTCTGAGATAAGTAGATTCACTCCAACTCAACACATTCACATATTTGTCTTTGCCAGAAAAACACTGCCCATTTATCTAAATTTGTTTGCCAAAAGTTGAATGTCTTTCATTAATTTTACAAAGGAAGAAACATGCAGAGAAATTCGGTTGCAGTTAAGTTTCTCCTCTGTGCATAAATACATGCTAGGAAATTACAAAATAATAGTTTTCTTTGGGGAATTTCAAATACTGAAATTCCTCTACTGAAACTACACTAGTTCCTTCCTTTCTCTATGCTTTCTATAATTTTATTATTTCAGAAATCAGTTTAGCCTCATAAGGGAAGAATTCCTTAAGCCATGATAAGATTATCTAAATACATAAAGAAGCTAATGTTACATAACAAATATACAACCTCCTACACAACCCTCTGTGAGCCACTCTTGTTGGTGAGCTGCAGTTGTGATAGCTCTGGTCATCTGTTCAACAGATTCTCTGGTGAAGCCTTTCACATTCTTCCCAACTAGAACTGAAACATAATTCAGTTCTCCAGAACTAAAGCTCCAGTACATTAACCGTCATCCACATATTAGCATATTCAATGCCTTACTTTTATTTAATCCAAAAGAAAAAGAAAATAATTTTAAAAATAACATACTCAGCTGCTTGTTTACAGTGCTTCAACTCTTTTTTCAAATTTTTGTTCTCATTTTCTAAAAGCATATTCTGCGAGTAGACATCTGGAACGTTCCCAACATCTCTAAGCTCAGTCACTCCCTTCTGCAGTAACTCATACCTAGGATAAAAATCAAACAAAAGGCTTTAAGTTGTCTCCTTCTACTAAGCTGATTTAATTTGTGTACATGACAAAAAGTTAAGTCTTAGGTAATGTTTATAGTAATAAGTTGCATTATTACTTATTAAATTAAAATGTCAATATTCATAATATATTTTAAAATAAAATATTAATGGCTAGAGTACTAATATCATTATGGTACATAAAATATAACTTAACATTTCCTATGTTCCAAGCACAAACTCAGATACTGGTGAAATTAGCAAAAATGTCCAAGTCCCTACCTATCTCATGGAGTTTTCATTCTAATGTGGATGGTAATACATTCTATGAAGAACACAAAGCAGGATAAGAGGAACAGAGAAGCTGAAGTAGAGAGTAATGGGGGTGTCTGTGCTAGGTTATATAAGTAGCCAGAGAAAATATGGCTGACAAAGCACTATTTGAGCAGGAACTGAAGGAATTGAAGGACCAATCCATGTGGATATGTGAGAGAGAAGTGTTCTTGGCTGATAGAAAAGTAAATATAAAGACCCTGAAACAAGGAGGTACTTGACATGTACAATATAAAGCAAAAAGCCAGAATATCTGGAGTATTTGGAAACGGAGCCAACTAAGAGCAAGAAGGAAAGAGGTGTGAGATAGTCAGGAAGACAGCAGGGAGCCAGAGAGAGGAATGTGATTCTACTCTGAATCAGACTGAAGCCATAGGAAGGCTTTGAGAAACAAGTGATGCTGATCAGATTTATGTTTTAAAATGATTATTCTGGCATCTGTTTGAAGAAACTGACTCTAGAGAAGCAAGAGTAGAATCAGAGAGCATTCTGCAATAGTTCAGGAGAGACAGATTGATGGCTTAAGCAAAGTCGGTAGCAGAAAAGATTATGAGAAATGAGAAATGAGTCCCTTCTGGAAATGCTATAAAGGTGGAGCCAACAGGATTCTCTTGGGGCACAGATGGCAGGTGTTGATTAGAAAGAAAAGTCAAGAATAACTCCAAGGTTTCTGGCTGAGCAACAGACAGCCACTTAGTGAGATGAGGACAAATGCAATAGGAACTGGGTGGTTGGAGAAATCAAGGAGCCAGAATTCTTTCTATGTCTCCTGGTCAATTAAGTGAAAATGAACATTGTAGTTCAGGGGAAAAGTCAGGACATACAACTTAAATTTGGCAATTATCAGTAGATAGAAATTCTTTAAAGTCACAAGATTGGGTGAGGACAGTTAGGGAGTGAATGCAAAGAGAGAAGTAAGGAAGTGCTAGGATGATTTCAAGATTGTCAAAAGAAGGAAATACTACCAAATAGAGACTAAGAAAAAGAAGAGGCAGTGAAGTAGTGAAAGAATCAGAGAGTGTTGTTGCTAAGGGACCAAGTGAAGAAAGTGTTCCAAGAAGAAATGAACAACAGTGACAAATGATGGAAGGAGGATGGATAAGAGGAGTACTGAGGATCAATCATTGAATTTGGCAATGTGAAGTCACTGAAAAAAGTTCTAGTAGAGTCACAGAGATGAGTGTAACTAGAGTAGGAATGAGAGAGTAGGAAATGAGGAAGTAGCAACAAAGTCTTTCAAGGAAATGTGCTATACAGCAGAGCCTAGGAAATCAGATGAACCTAGAAGAGAAAGTGGAGTCCAGGGTGTTTTTATCTTTTTTGTTTTAATATATGACACGTTAGTGTACATCTGATTGCTTATCAGGATGATCCAGCAGAAGGAAAATGTAAACAATGCAGGAGACAGAAGGGACAATTGCAGGAGTAATGCCCTTGAGTAGGTGAGACGAGCTGGGATCCAATAAACAAGAGGAGGGCTGGCCTTAGATGTGTGTATGGCTCAGCAGCTGTGAGGCCTGAGAACAGAGGTAGGTCGGTAGAGAGGCAAGGGTCGTGGTACTTCTATTATCTCAGGGAAATAAGGAACATCAGAAAATCATTTATAAATCTGTAAATAATTGTAATTTTAATCATTATATGAAGCAATTAATAAAGTCAAATAAAAAACAACTAGAGCCTAGAAAAACATCTCAAGTAATAGATACTAACAAAGAAATCGCTACAAGGCTTGCTAGAGTTAAGCTAAACATTCGTTTAAAAATGTTTAATTTTCAGTATGTTCATATTATAAATCTTAACTGTATTAATATATTACATACATTAGTAGCCATATGTTTTTGTATTACATACTTATCTGATATGAAAGAGAACCCCTGCAGAATATCCAAAAGGTTAAGATATTTGAATCAATATTAAATGATAATTGTCACAACTTATAAAACAACAGATAACCATTTAATACAAAAAAAATCTCTTTTCTATCCATATTTGGAATGTGCTTTATACTTATCTCAGAAGAGAAGATATAAAGATTGACTGAAGTATTGAACCATACTTTTTCTGATCATAAAATTGGTTTTCAGCAATTTGCTTTATTTCATACAGAAAAGTCACTAAAGAAATTATTTCAATAAGAAAAAAGTGATATGTAGTCCTTTAAATGAAATGTTATATAAAGAAATTAATACGTGGTAAAACAGTACAAATCAAACATACTACCTACATCATATATATCCTAGAACATTCAAAAATCATTTATCACACAAAATTTCTACCACCCATATAAAAATATCAAAGATGACTTTAAACTCACTAAAACTGTTATAATCTCCAAACTCCAAAAATATATTTCTCAGTAAAACCTGCCTTTTCCTACATAAGATTCTTTTTGTTATTTTGGTGTGTGCATGTGTGTTTTTAAAGAAATATCCTGGCCATTTTATTTCTTCCTCTTTATTTGCTCATCCTTGGAATAAGACTAAAATGTATTCAGATGAGAAAAAAGAGTGAGGTAAATACAAGGACCTGAAAATAAAATTTACTACCAACACAACTGCCAAGAAATTATCACCAATAAAATTACATTAATGGTCTTCGTATTTACCATAAAGTCCCTAAACCACTTAGAAGGATACTGAAATGGAGAATATGTGTATTTCAGGGAGAAAGTGCTTAGGCTTTCATAAGATTGTCTATATACCAAAGAGTTAGGACCTACAGCCATAAATGACAAATAGTTTGGTAGAATTTCAGTAAACATTTAAATGGTGTCAAGAGTAAGAATTATTTTTCCTTCATGATGGCACCCAAGACATGGGATATAAAAAACAGGGGAATCAACCTGGCCTGGGTTGACGCTACTACTTACTGGCTGTGACTGGCAGACTTCCTAACTTCCCTGAGCCCATTTCCTCATCCATGTAATGTAGATATGACAGTAGTTTTGTGTTACATATAGTTGTTGGGAGAAGTAAATGAGATAAAGCATGAGAATATATTGTACAAATAAAAATAATACAAAGTACTTTCCTGAGTGATAAGCCTAAGGCTTCATCTTCCTAACTATCTTTAAATCCTTCAAATTTAATAAACACTATATTAATTTTGGTTATAAAATTTAAGCTATGTTAAATATTCACTTAGGTTGCCTTCTTGACAATATAGCACTTAGATCTCTGCATATACAGAGCTCAAATTTAGCATATTGCAGCATAGTAAAAGTTAGATTTATAGAAGAATTACAACATTCTTGTGTTTAACTTAATATTGATTGGAGAAAAAAGTTCTTACTGCATGACACATAACTGGAAGCCTACTTTAATTGAACAGCAATAGGTTTAAATGCTAAAAGAAGAACTACATAGTTGTGTAGTATTCACTGAGAATCAGTAATGTATACACAACACTACACATATGTCCCACACATACTGGGCAACATAAGGGATTTTTCCAGAGTAATTTTAATTCTAGGCTTTGTATTTAAGACCCAGCCATTCCCAGAAAGTTGTAACTGTGCAACTCCCATGAGTAATTATAGATTAAGCTAAATTTTATTGGCTTAAAGGAGCAATATTTACCTTTTGTGAAAATTTTTAAAATATACTACTAATTTATAACTTCTATAACTAAGAAAAAATCAAAATAGCAATTAAATATTACAAAAAATTGCATTATTACCTGTGATGGCATTTTTATTACCATCCAGCCTTCAGTGGAATGGGAGGAAAAGAAACCAAACTGGCAAGAACCAAGATTAAATAGGAGTAAAACGGTAAAGAAAGAAATAAAATAAACACCCTGTTTCCAAAACATTTGGCTGTAAGGGGAAGAAGAATTGGAGTGAGTGGGAGGTAATAAGAGGAAAAGGCAAAGAGCAAGAATGTATGCTCTGGGGGAGTCCTGACCTTGTTAACAGCAAAATAGTCCAGTGGAGGAAAGGAGATGGTTGATATATGCTCAGGAAAGGGTAGCTAAACTGCACTACCATACTTTCTCCATTTTTAACCCTCTCTTTAATTATGCCCCCAGGGAAATTATCATTGCACCCAGAGTACTTCTAAAATGGTCATATAAAAATCATTGATTAAATCCACACTGCAGACATTTTTTGTGGTTCATAAAATATTAAATATATATAGATATAGATATAGATATAGATATAGATATAGATATAGATATAGATATAGATATATATAAAATCTCTAAAGTTTTGTATGGCCAGAAAATAAATATTTGGAATTTGCCACAAAAAAAAAAGCTTTCTGGGCTATATGGTCTCTGTTATGACTAAGTAACTTTACTGTTACAGCATGAAAGCAACCACAGACAATACCTCAAAGATAAGTCACGGATGTGTTCTAATAAAATTTTATTTACAAAAATGGGGCAGGTTAGATCTGGCCCCAGGGTCTTAGTTTGCTGACAAATGATTTAGTAAATTTACTGCAATTACTTTTTGAGGAATGAAAGAACATAAGTCAAATTTTACTGGCCATTTTAAAAAAATTTTTGGAGTATTTTTTGTTTTTGCTTTTGTTTTTACAAACCAACAATAGAGAAACCTTGCTTCATCACCTTTTGTAAGATTAAATAAATTCATAGCAATGATACAAGTGTTTTTCTCCATAAGAAATTATTAAAATTATATATAATATTTTATAGTTTTACTATACAGAATAAGTAAAGGTTTCTGATCAAAGTAAAAAATGTTTCATTTGAAATAAAAACATCCAATACAATATAATCTCGTTACAAATAATTTGTAATCTCATTACAAACTGGCACCTAGGAAGAAGGATAAAAGTATTTGAACCATGGTATTACTAAGCCCATATAATGAAGAGATACCTTACACAAATTTTACTCTATGATTGTAGTATTATGCTAAACGGTATGCTTACTTAGGGGCTCTATAAATCCTAATATTATTTTAGTTTCCTAAAATTTCATCTCAATTCAAGTTGCTAAATCTAAATGGACAATATGGCAACAAGTACCTAACTGTTAAGAGCACACTTGGTTCCAATTTCTCCCAGGGAATCATTTCACATTTCGAACTGGCTAAACATGAAGCACTAAATGTCCTAACACGTATTCTTAGAAGAAAAAAGGAAACTGAACCACATTAATCTTTCATTTCATTAGTCCTGCAAATGAATCATCTACCTACTTTTACAGAAATGTATTTTCTAATACATGTGTAATTATTTCTTAGGGACATTTTTCTAAAAATCATTCACACAATTTCCAGATTTAATAGGAAGGGTATTTATTGTTTTTCTACTATCAAAATTGCTTTTTTTTCCTAAACTGTATTAATGAAAAATGGTCCTTTTCATTAAATTTATTAACATTACATATGCATTTTAAAATAACAAAATTGATTGCTCCTATGTGCATGGTCTTAGTAGATGAGAACTAAAAAAGTGGATATAAAAATTTAATTGCAGTTGGATTAGTATAAATTACAAATTGCCCCTATATTTAAAATTAGAATTGAACTCCAAAATACTATAAATATCTTTACATATCACATTATTCCTTCTTCCGGTAACATGCAATGGCTTTTAAAAATCAAACATTTTAATATCCAATTATTTAGTAATACTCCACTGAAGAATGCTAAGACTCTAAAAGCATGCCTGGTAACATTACTACTACAGCAAAGGAATAACGAAAGTATGCCTGCTGATTTTCATAATCAGTAATTATTAAAATTTTCAATTATAACAAAAAAACCTTACGTTTAGGTATCATTTGAAAATATAATTCAACTTACTTCTAAATGAAGGAATATTTATAGAATAAGAATCAGTCATTTTGTGAGGCGAGAAAAGCAAGCCATTATACTCTAACTAAAACAAGCCAAGTAGTAGTGTTAGTAGGATGTCTTAATGCAGGAAATAATACCCTCATAATTATGCAAAAGATATTTTTAAATATTTCATAAAATAGTTTTGTGTTATATAACTCCAGGAGACACTCCATTTTCTTGACTCTTGAAAACCACCTAAATTTGAGTATTTAGAAAAGACGTTTAATAAAAATTTCTTTGAAATTGATATCCTGATTGTGTGTGTGTGTGCTGTGGTTTCAGTGGCAATGAGGGGGAAAGTTTCTATCCAGTGCATTCAGTTTTGCATAAGCTGAATCATTCAAAGTCGTTTAAGATGATTAAAAGTATGCACGTTAAATAATGGTAGTACTTCTAGAGAACTGTTTATCCACTTAATTCTTTACCATTCAGACTGAAAGCAGTCAAGAGTTCTGGTCATTCCCATTTTGATCAGGAAATTGCAGAGAAAGTCTTCTATTGCTTCAGGTACTGCATGCTTTGAAGAAAGGACTGTTTTCTGCTCCTAAAATTTAAGTGTACAATTATTCATTTTGAAAATATCAAAGTTTTGATTAATGGTACAGATAGGCCTTTCATTCATTCAGTCAGTCATTCATTTTTTAAACAATTTTGTTCAATACCATGTTCCAGGAACTATTTTAATCACTAGGGATAAACCAGTAATGAAAACAGACAAGACTCAGTCTTCATAACTAATAGAAAAGTGGATGGGGACAGAAAATGAGTAAGTAAATTAAAAACATACAGTATGGCAGATGGACTAAGTGTCTGGGGGTAAAAGTAGAGGACTGAAGCAAGCGAGGGCCAGGTATGGAGCAGATATACGTATGGAGCTGGGCTGCTATGTATAGAGGGTGATGAAGAACAATTTCATTGATAAAGTGACCTCTGAGCATAAATCTAGAGAAGAGGTAGAGTCACATTCCAGATCCAGCATTAGCAAGTACAAAGGCAGGCAAGCATGTGATTGGACTGTCTGAAAAGCAATAAGGGGGTCAGCTTGCCCTGGCCATGGCATTTAACATATTTTTTAAAAAGAAAAAAAGGATGGATCTTTTCATTTCTTTTAATTATTATCATTATAAAAAGAAATGTGGTTTCGGTGCCTTGATTTTTAGGAACACTCTGGAAGGAATTATGTGCAATACAGGGCTCTGGCACTACTATGAAATCATAATGGAAGTCAGTCAGTCTATCAACGAGGTCAAGGGTTAGCTAACTGTCCATGTAAATAAAGTTTATATTAGAATACCACCATGCCCACTTCTTTACATATTATCTATGGCTGGTTTTGCACTACATGAGATAGTTAAGCAGTTGCAACAGAGACCTTATGCCCCTTAAAACACAAAATATTTTCTATGTGACCCTTGAAAGAACAAGTTTACAGATCCTTGAACTAGAAAAAAGGAGTTATTTCAGCAAGTGAGATATGAAATTGGGACAGTCATAAAAACTACCATATCACATAAGTCAGTATATAAAATAAATCAAGTAATGGGTAGATTCTTAAAACTATCAACAGCACTGGTGTCTCCGGAGTACATTCATTTTCTTCTCATTGGGCAAGAACTCACTAATCTTACTGCAGACCAGCTGAATAGTTAGAGCTATTTTCACCTATAGAAACACAGTAGTGGACTTTCCTTTCTACTTCTCCTTCCCGACTTGGTAATGGTCACATACTAAGTTACACAGAATGCTTACCTAGAAAGGCACTGAGGAAAGAGAATCTTTTTTGCCATAAAAAGATCCTTTTCAAAAGTTCTATAAATACTTTCATGCTGATGCTGATTACTACTAGCTATTATGACAATAGAAATAGCGGTGAGTTTAAGCAAATCTGGGGGGCTACAGAAAATTCCCAACAAATGATAGGGTCTTAAAATAATTTTTAAAGCCCATGCAGAATAATTTCAAATCTTTCCTAAGATCATTAAAAATGATATTATATAACAATGTTGATTACGTGTAGGAATCTATGTCAAACAGCACGGGAGATGCCAAAGTAGCAGAGTACAGCATGCCATGCCTGCCATCCATCAAGTAGCTGCACTGTGGTACAAGATTAATATATATAACTGTTAGGTGAGGGTATAATACAGGTAGAAGCAAACATTCATTATACAATAATAAATGTTGCCTTGGCATTTTGGGTCAATAAATTTGAATATGATATTTTAAGATGAGATGGATGGACGCTGAAGGAATCAGAAACATAGGAGGAAAGTGAAGACAGAGAGCTTGTAACTACTGTAGTTTCTAAAGATGCCCAAGGGCTGCTTACAGGATGCATGTATATATGATTGCAACATACAAGATTCCCGTGCTCTCAAATAAATATGTTTCTCTTCCTGAATATATCTGATACAGACACCTTGAAACACCCAAAACAGAAATCCAACCACCTTGAACTGCCATAGTTCTTACTTACACATTGAGATTTATAATCCTGTCAATATACTTATGTGTCTAATCCATAGTCCTTCAGCATTACACACAACACACACACACACACGTTCCTAGCTATACTGTGATTATAAATGTCTGTTTTATCTTTACATATAATATTCACTTAATATATATTTGCTGAACAGCATCCATATGCCAGGCACTATGTGTGTTAGGAATTAAATATGAATAAGAGATTGTCCCTGTCTCAAAGAATTGAAAGACTAGTTGAGTAAAAACAATACATGTAAACAAAAACAACAATATAGAAGCTCCACTATTTGTGATTAAGTTTGATTATAAAAGCTGTTTATATGTCTACACAGTTACCATACACAAAATCAATAGGTACATTTACATAATATTAAGTTGCACTTTTATCTCAATTATATATTATATACAACTCTTATTACAACTTTATAATTAATTTAATGATGATGTTAATAAAACACCTCATAATAATCACAAAAAGAGAAAGCACTCTAAAAACCAGCAAACATGCCTCACTTTGCAGAATGCTGAATTATTAAAAAAAAATCCACCCACATGTAATTCAGAAATCTGTTGGATAATAAAAGTAGCTCTAGGATGTAGCTTATTTTTCTGTATGAAAGTTATAAAGTTGCAGTTTTCTAAGTAGACAGGTTTCTAGATAGTGTGATGAGTGCAAAATTAGAGGTGGGCTTGGTAAAGTAATAGATAAAGGTGAAAAGTATTTCACTGATCTTGGGTAGGTGAATGAAGGCTTTATTAAGAAGATTGTTAAGTTGGAGTTTACGGAAGAGGAAGTTCAATGGATGAATAAGGATGGAAGGAAATTCAAGGCAAGAAAAACATCAGAGGCAAAGACAAAGAATGAGAGTTTATTTCATTCAAAGTCAAAGTCTTATGAAGAAAGGCCAAAGAGAAAGTTAAAAAGCCAGACAAAATGTATATCAAGAAGGCAAAGGCAGATAGAAGGATGGAGACACTGGTGATTTAAGCAGAGGAGCGACAAATTCAAATTTGTATTTAAAAACCTCTCTTAGGTGGAAGAAGAAGGAAACACAGTACCAGCAGCATGGCAGTAGCTCTGATGAGAGAAGACAGCAGGTGAATCTAAGGGAAACTAAGTGCAGAATGAAAGCAAGGACAAGGATATGAAATATGCTGAAAACATAAAATCCGATGGGACTCAAGGATTAATTCAATGTTGAATAGCAAAGAATTACTGGACCATACATCAAAAGTGTCTTGATATATTTTGAACTATTCCAAAGTCAGTGAGTTCCTTTTAAAACTGTTTTGTTTTTGTTTTTTGTTTTTTTGACTAGTGAGAATCAACTCTTTAATTCAAGTGAAATCAAATATAGCGTCTTGGAGAATCTATAGGCGAGACTTGGGGTACAAGTAGCCTGGTTCTTTAACTGAAATTAAATGGGTACATCAAGGGACTAGAAGCTCAATAGTGATAAATAGCTCCTTTTACTGTGATTTAAGTCACTGAGCCTATAAAAGTAATGAAAATTATTTTATGTATTTAATTCATTAGCACTTATAATATGTAAGATTTAAAATAAAGGCACTGAACTTTCATAAAACCAAAGTCTAAGTGAAAGGAATACAAACTTACTAATCCTGAATACTTTTTTGTTATAACATAATTTTATCAAGAAAAATATTTGATAGTAATTCTTAATAAACATATAGGAAAATATCTTAGAATAAAATTCTATAAAATTCTCATACATGAAGTTCTCAGTACACTTGCATACTCTTAAAAATTACTGAAGACCCCAAACAGCTTTTTTTATATAAATTATCTCTATCGACAGTTACTATATTAGAAATTAAATATTTTAATATTTTTTAAATAACTATAATAAAACTTTTACACAGTACCACAGATTAACATATTTTTATAAAAAAAATATATTGCAAACAAAAAAACAGTAGGAAGAGTGGCACTGTTACAAAACCCTTCAAATGTCTAGGGGACATGGCTGGATCCTGATATTTGCTTCTGCTGTGATATGCTGTCTTGGTTGAGCTATAAGAAGAAAATCCACATCTTGCACCTGTCAGAATGGCTATCATTAAGAACACAAATAACAAAAGTTTCGCGAGGATGTGGTGGAAAGGGAACCCTCATACACTGTTGGTGGGAAGGTAAATTTGTGCAAACACTGTGGAAAACATCATGGAGGTTCCTCAAAAAACTAAAAATCTGGCTACCATATGATCCAGCAATTCCATTCCTGGGTATGTATCCGAAAAAAAAAGACAAAAACAACTAATTCAAAAAGATACAGGGGAGTCAATGTTCACAGAAGCATTGTTTATAATTACCAAGATGTGGAAGCAACCTAAGTGTCCATCAACAGATGAATGGATTAAGAAGATGTGGTGTATATATACAACGGAATACCACTCAGCCATAAAAAAGAATGGAATTTTGCCATTTGCAACAACACAGATGGACTTGGAGGGTATTATGTTAAGTGAATAAGTCAGACGGGGAAAGACAAATGCTGTATGATATCACTTACATGGGGAATCCAAAAAATACAACAAACTAGTGAATGTAACAAAATGGAAACAGACTCACAGATATAGAAAATGAACTAGTAGGGAAAGGGAGGAGGGGCAATATAGAGGTAGAGGATTAAGAGGTACAAATTATTGTGTATAAAATAAGCTACAAGAATATATTGTACAACATAGGAAATATAGACAATATTTTATAATAACTTTGAATGGAGTATAACCTTTAAAAGTCGTGAATCACTATATTGTACACCTGTAACTTACATAATATTGTACATGAACTATATTTCAATTTTAAAAGATGGGAAAAAAACAGAAAATCCAACAGCCAGATGTGTAGCCAGAAAATCAAGGACAACTCAAAACCCCTGAAAGGAATCTTGGGGACCCCTACCAAATATCCAACAGTACTTTGAGAACTGTTGATAAATATGTTAAATAATATAGTGGTTTGGTTCATTTACCAATTAATCTTCTCAAAAAACTCTTGAATATTTCAAAGAAATGCTTTATATTTTTAGAGGAGGAGGAGGGGAGAAGATGTCAGTAAACTTAATAATTATATGATTTGGGTGCCTTGCTACTGTTATCTTTAAAGATCAAAATTATAAGTTTATAAAAATTATATTATTATAGAATTATAGCAAGACAAAGGGCCTTTGAAATTGCATCCCCAAAATTAAAAAAAAATCAAGAACCAAAGCAGCTAAAGAATTCTCTCCCAAAATGACAATAATATGCTAACAGGAAGGTTCACAGTGTAAAAGGGAAAATCCAGCTTGAATGTAAGTAGACTTTTTATCATAAAATTACATACGAATATTTTGAAGGAATGTAATTGTGTGTATATGCATGTGGGGGGGTCTGTATTCCTGTTTCTACTTATATTCACACTTAGAAAAAACACTTTAGTTTCAAGAAACAACTGACAGCAGGGAGAGTATAGCTTAGTAGTAGAGTGCATGCTTAGCATGCACAAGGTCCTGAGTTCAATCGCCAGTACCTCCACTTAAAAAAAAAAAATCAAGAAACAATTGACAATATAAACAAATTATACACTTGTTATAGATAATAACATTTTTTATATTTTAATTTCTTTCAATACTCACTTTATAAATAATGAAACTATATTTAAAATCATAATTCAGAACCACTACACCCTCAAAAACTGATATTGTATAGTATATAGACAATTTAAAATTATGAAATAAAGCATGCATCAATTCTCAAATTTTTCATATGTATTACCTAGGTTTAAAGAAGATTATAAAAATTCATTTAAATGTCAACTATTGGAAAAATAGTCCTTGTTAATTTTTTAGCTAATACAACTACTTACTTTATTTCCAAACTTTCAATTTTTCAATAATTTCAACTATATTCAACATTCTTAATAGTATGATGATATTTTACTTGCAATCATTAACGAAAATTTTAAAAGTCCTCACTGAATAGGAACTACTACTATCCTCTAGCATAGAAGAAAATGTATCTTGCTTACGAACAGATGTAATAAAATCATAACAAAATGAAGTTGGTTTCATAAGCAATAAATATTCTTAAAACAGAAAGGCCATGGTACAACTTAAAGCTAGTTTTTGAAGATAAAATACTATAGAAATAAAATCCAAATCAGAAATACATAAATGACTTTCATAAAATGTATCCATATTTAATTTTAAAAGCTTAAGGAAAACTTTTGTGAATTTTCTGCGTAGCATTGTTGTTTCAAAGAACTCAAAAAAATGTAAAAACTTAAATAAGAGTCAACCAGCTATAAATATGTCACAAATCTAGAAAGTTAACACTTGTAAGGTTATAGTAAAAGAAAGCTCATGAGAAATTGGTTAGAAAAGAGTTACTGATATTTGGTTAAGTAGATATGACAGCTACTACACTGTATTTATTCCCCAGTTGTCTTTCTTGGATTCATCTTTGGATTTACAAACACCTTCTAGCATGATACCAGATAGAAAAATGCAATTACAGTTTTGGATCATAATTTTTTTCATTCAGTGATTCATTTATCCATTTACTTACTTAGCTGCTATTAAAGTTTACACGACTCTTGAAACTTCGCATAAAAAAGTAGCACCATTGAACTATAGGCTATAGGTCTGTTCCAAATTCTCACCAAAATTTGCGTATCTGTAGCCTGTTCTTGGACCATCTGAATTGCTTTTGCCAGATCTTCTTCACCTTCTGGAATGCTAAAGTTGTCATCTGGTATCTAAATCACAGAGAAAGAGAAGGATGGAAAGAGTTAGCAGGAATATAAAACTACTTTATTTTCATTTTAAACATAATTTTCCTTATAAAACAAAGGATCATAGAAATACACTTTATGTAAGATACCATGTCATTCTGAAGATCTATGAAAAATGTACAACTAACAAGCAGGCAGCCCTCTGACTTCCTCGTAAACATCACTCAATGTCACTTCTAAAGAACTTGAGATTAGCTTACGGGCAACAGCTTTTATCTATAATGACAAATGTAGTCTAACAACTCTGCTGGAAAAAAGATGTTAGGCCACCTAAAAGCCATCATTCTCTCCTCATCCCAGATTTTCTCCACCATTACTTTTCCATAACTACTAGCAACTGCAAATCTCTGTTAAGTTAAGTCTAATATTAAAAAACAAAACAAAACAAAACTCACTGCCTGAATGTTAAGTTCTTGGAAGAAGGCAATTGACTCTAACTATGATATTAATGAGAGTTAACACGTATGCCTGCTTCTTGTGTACTGATGACAATTTTAAGCCCTTTACATTTATCAACTCATGCAGTAATTTCAAGTGGTTATGTATTAATATTCTCTCTGTTTTACCAGTAGCAATACAAAGCCTATCTTCTGTGTTCACCCTGTCTCCTGCTTGCCCAGGCCACAACTGTCAGGCTGGCTTCCAGACAGTTTTATTCACAGCTTCTGTCATCTAGGAGTGACTCTGACCTCCAAGTCTCAGAGGTAATGATTGGTCCCACTGGAACAATGAATTAAAGGAAAGGTTGAAATAGTAACCACATTAGACAGAAGAATAGCTAAGTTGGAAGGAAGCATAGGATCTGAGCTCCAGCAGGTAGCAGGATTCTGGAAACCCTGCAGACTAGATGATAAGGAATACCTTCTAGACAGAGATGACACAGTGTGGTTCAGATCCATGGGTGATAAAGAGCTGACTCTGAAGGACAAGTAACAGGAAAACCAAAAGAGCCAGATGTATTAACAAATCTAAATTTTAAATAGAATTTCACACCTTACTCTTAACCAGCTGTTATTAGCTAAATTGAGTTCAAAAACTACCATCATTTAAGAAAAAAATTGATTAAAAATAAAATGAGTATTTAACAAAAATGACTATAATGAATTTATAAAATAAGGATGTAAAATGAACAAATTACCTCTTCATACTCATAATCATCTTCAGATGCTTCAGTTATGGTGACCTCTAAATATACTGTCAAGTTTTAATCTCAAAATAAATGAAATAAAATTATTATATTTAAAAATTGATGTAATGTTAAAATACAGTAGTAGATCTGAGTATCTCACCAAGTTAGTAAATATATGTAAATTAAAGCTATTTTTAAAATTTGTCTTCCCATACAGCTTACAACAATAGGAAATATTTTAAAAAAAATTTTTTAACTGTTATTTTAAATCATTGTTCTACACAACCCAAACCCATGAAAAACTAAATATTTACCTATTTACTATCTAATAATTTCCAACTTGATTCTAAGAAGGCTAATGAAAATGTACACAGCATCATAAAATAAATTAGAAGAGATAAGAAATGATGGACAGGAAAATTGTAACAGTAAATTTTTCAAATTTACCTCAAACCACACTAAATTTTCCAGAGTCCCTGAGTCATTCACAGTTCAGCATGACTTCTTTTTATGGTTTAAAGTGTTCAGAGTGAAAAAACAAAAGCTCACCAAGATTCAAATATAAGTTAAAAAATAGACTTCAATGTTTTCATCCATAAAAGTTAATCACATCTCCACTCTCTTTCTTATATATCTCAATTTTAAAATTAAATTAACCTCTCAGGAAAGGCAGTCTAATTTTTAAGCAAATATAAACTATATAGTAATAATTCAGTAGTTCATAAATTATCAAGATATATCAGCATTAAAATATCAGTGGAAAGCATTCTAATAAAAATTCTAATAGCATTGCTGTAAGACCTTCAAAAATTACAAGTTACTCTAATTACAAATGAAGACTTCAATATAACATTTAATTTTAAAAGAAATCACCACATATAGCAGTAATCCTGCTTTGTTGCTTGGTTGGTAGGTTTACATTTTTTTCAAATGTGCAGACTTGATTATGCCAAGTATAAAGGTATAAAATAAAACACCTCAATGTGCAGTAGTGGTTATGAAAATCAAGGATGAGATTAGCCTAGTTTTCATTTTGCTGCTGGTTATAAGAAATTGTCTCTGTTATTCCATCCTCCAAGAGTAAGCTGAAGCTGTGTATAAGAACTTCTGCTGTTTGTAATAAGAACTGATAACACTTATTTAGCATTTAATAGGAGCCAGGCACTGTCCTGAGAGTTTACATGCATTAATTTACTTCATCCTCATCTTACCTATGAGGCTGGAAATATTATTATCTCCGTTTTACAGATCAGGACTCAAAGGCACAAAGTTACACACCCAGGGCCTAACAGAGCTGGGAATCAGCCCCAGGAGTTCAGGTTTCACTGTGCTACACTATTTCTCTTGTTATTCTATATGGGTTTGCTGTGCTATACAAACACTTGAAGTGTTTGCCAACTATCTTACACACAGTTCTAAACCTCTAAAAGATAATGCATTCTTGTTTCTCAGCCCCACCATAAGCAATAACGTCACTGTCTGTCTTACTACTTAAGGAGACACTTAAGCCTAGTTCAGTTGTCACCAATCCTCAGGCACCAGATAGCTGTCAAAGGACCAGTATTTAATTGTCAAACATGAGTGTCTCTCCCGTTAATATAGTGAAAAGTAATTTAGGCTAAAAAAAATAACTAGGTAAAAGTAGATTTAAAAACAAGAAACAAACAAAAACATTGCACACCTGCAGTCCACCCCATAGCCTGGACTTGCTCATACTAAGCACCAGGAGAGAATTACCCACCTATACATTAGTGATCTATTGTTTCACAACAGTTTCCAATAGCATTTGCCTCACACTTCCTTTAATTGCTTGCCAGCAACCTCCTTAAAGACCATCAGGCTACCACTAACATTCAAGGTATTAGCTTTCACTAACATTCTACTTAAAGTGCTTTCACCATCTGCCTAATATTCAATTCCAAAGCCATTCTGAGGTATTTGGGTATTTCTTACATTAGAACCTCATTTCTAGATATCAAAATCTACACAACAAAGTCCCCAAAATTTAGGCAATAAGCATCCTTTATCTCAAGTCCCTGTGGTTAAGAATTCAGTAGTGACTTAGTTGCAAAACTTTGATTCGAGGTCTCTCATGAAATCTGTCAAGATGGCAATGAAGATTGCAGTCAACTGAAGTCGTAAATGATTCAACGAGATCCACTTCTAAGATGGCTAACTGGTATTGTTGGCTGGAGGCCTCAGTTTCTCCCTATGTGGGTTTCTTCACAGGCTTCTTAAGCCTCCTCAAGACATGGTGGCTAGCTACCTCCAAAACGAGCAATTCCAGAAAACAAAGTGGAAGCCACAATGTCTTTTATGAACAAGCCTCACAAGTCATGTATCATCATTTATTCAGCATCCTATTGGTTACATACGTCAACTCTACTCAGTATGTAAAGGTACTCTATCAGAGCATTTACATCAGGAGATGGGTATCATTTTGGAGGCTGGCTACCATACTAACTCATAAGGCTTCAAGAGTATTAAAGAATTAACATACTTAAATCATTCAGAATGGTACCTGGCTTATAGTAAATGCTATACAAGTATCTGTTATTATTTTCCTTGTTCTAGAAAGAGATGAGAACCTGTGGAGAGGCCTCATTAAGTCTCCCATGATCTAGTTCCTCCATATGTTAAGATAAATGGATAAATAAAAGACATTCTGAATTTTCTTCCTTTTCTAGATTTCTATTTTTCCGATACATTTTCACTTAATGAAATAAAATTTCCTAAGGTTCAGCTACAGAAATTCAGCCTCTTTTTATGGAAAATACATCCCCTTCTGAGAAACAGCTATTGGAGTTTGATTTTGTAGGCAGTCACTTGTCTTTGTTAGAAAAGTAATGCCATCCTTCATCACTGCTTATATCATAATAAATTTCACAAAGAAGTAAATATAAAATGATCTGGATAGACTTTATAATTATAAATAAGCCAACTGCTGACAAGATTACTATGAGGAAGAAACATCAAAGCAAAGCTTCTTAAATATGGCTATATGTAGAGGAAAAAGTGATTTGTCCTCGATGATTTGGAAATATCAAACAACACTTGTAGACTGCTAGCCAAAAAATATTCTAGGCAATGGATTTTAATCTCTAATAATATATTCTGTTTTCCCACAATCAAAAAGAGTAAATGAAAAAATAACTACCATTTTATAAAGCTTAGAAAGTATTGTCACATGGATCATAACCACATATACTCTTATAACCCTGTGAGATTGAATAGCATAGATATAGTCACCTCTAAATTGAAAAAAAAAAAGGAAACTGAATCAGGAACATTAACAGATTGGCCAAAATCATAGCTACAAGTGACAAAGTTTCCTGAATCAAATGACATGATTCTTCAACGACACGCTGTTTCTACAGTGACACAATAGCAATAAGCAATTTTTACCAATATCCTCAGAAATGAATCTTCACTTGTTTGTTTTCCAAACTCTCAAGTGTTATATTACTAACAGATAAATTAAATTCTTTAAATAGCTCAGTTTGAAGACCCTAAAGGAAGGAGAAGTATAAAAGATTTACAGGGCTATACACCCAAAGATTAAATAAACCAAGGGCAAGAGATTAACCCAACAAAAGGTCAAGCAGAGGACAAATACCCAAAGCAGGAATCAGTATCCTCCTTAATTATTTTTAGTACAGACAACATGACTTGTACAGAAAATCTTCCCAGAAGCAACTCAGTTGAAACATGATGTTGCATTGTTACTGAAGAAGTAAATGTACTTTGGCATGTATGTTTGTATGCATCTGTCTAGCTGGCTAGCTGGCTAGAAACACATGGACAAATGCACAAACAAATCCCAAAACAATTCTGTGTCAGTTTACAAATATGCAGACAGCTACAGGAAGATAAAAATAAATGAACATGGAAATTAAGGAGAAAGGGAAATAGAAGTAAAAGAAACCTAAAGATGCAGTACATGCCATAAAGTTTCATGAACTTTGTTAAATACAAGCCACAGGTTTGATTCTAAGCTTCCCAGCAGTCAGGGTAAAGAGGGGAATGTAATCAGAGATCAATCCAGTATCCATCCAATGAAAACAGATGAGATTCTCAGCAGATATATAGCAATTTCTGGATCAGAAGCCTGAGAGAAATTATACCTTTAGCTTCTCATAAAGAGAACACTGTGGACCATACAGACATTGATCCTCTTGAAAAGACAGAATGAAGCAGGATCTGATGGAGCACCGTGTGTGAAAAAGGTGAAAAAAGTGCTTTAGAAGCAATATTGGTAGAGTGGAAATGGGCAATTCATCAAGAATTGTCTGCAAGATAAAACCCTTTACTCTGATTCTACTTGTACTAAGCAATTTTCTCATCTGTTGTCTAATCTCTTCAGTGAGCCTATTCTCTAGGAAACGTCCATGCAATTAAACTGGTCACAATTTTCATGCAAAATTATTTTTCCACTGCAGAATAATAAATTGGCTTTCTGGCTTAAAAGCACTCTCTTTTTTCTTTTTATTTTAATTGAAGTATATAATGTTCAGTTTATAATGTGTCAATTTCTGGTGTACAGTATAATTTTTCAGTCATATATATACATATATTCATTTTCATATTCTTTTTCATTATAGGTTACTACAAGATATTGAATATAGTTCCCTGTACCATACAGAAAAAAACCTGTTGTATATCTATTTTGTATATAGTAGTATGCAAATCTCAAAAAAATATGGAATGCTTCACAAATTAGCATGTCATCTTTGCACAGGGGCCATGCTAATCTTCTCTGTATCATTCCAATTTTAGTAAATGTGCTGCTGAAATGAGCACAAAAGTCAGTCTCTTAGCCAAGCTGACTCTGAGCCTTTACAAAACTCCCTTCCCATTACCTGCCTAGTATTCCATCAAAAAATATTACTGAACTCCAGTTCCAAAGTTCATTTTTTTCTATTCTGTCTATTCCCCTCAGATCTAGTTCCTGCCTTTCTGCCTGCTTGAGCTTGACTTAACACTTAATACTGTGCCTGGTTTTCTAGTTTGATCTTGCCCAGGGTACTATCTGTGGCTTCCCTTCCCTCTTGGCCTG